GGATGAAAGACCGTCGCTCTCTAGCTGTTTTCATTCTTGAGTTATTGCAAAACTACCCGCGCTCATTATTCTTTTTTAAACAGACTTAAGTTTTACACAAAAACAGTTCTTATCGAAATTTTACTATTATGATATTAGTTGAAGTACGATCAAATAGCATAGAAAAATAGAGCTTCGTTTTCTCTATCACCTCATAAAAAAGAAAACTTCTTCGAGCTTACTATTCGGACATAAGGTATCTCCGGCAGAATTTTTGGATTGACCTAAGTATTTTATTTTAAATTTCTTTTTAATGATTCATTTTGTGTTAAATAATTCAATGATATATTTCTACTTGTATTGTCCAAATTTCATTTATAGTGTTCGCTTAATTTGTTTTATTTTGTTTTAAATAAAATCGAGGACCAACGAATAATTATTCGATTTTTTTTTTGCTCTTTCAATTAACACAAAGTAGAATTGTTCGATATTTAATATAATTAAGATAAAACTCTTTTAAAACTTTATTTTATTGAACTGATATTTATTAAATGAAACAAAGATTTATTGTTTTCTCAACTGATCTACATTTGTTAATCAGTGTGAATTTTTTGAAAAAAAGAAAATCGTTGTCAAATTGAATTAGTTGATGAAAGGCTTTGATCATTGTCATATTTTCGTATAAATAAAATAGTTTAGACGTAAAAAAAAACTTGATAAGATGTTGTTTAAACAAAAGATAAAAGATTTAAAAAAGTAAATATGTTTGTTTAGTTGTTACTTTTCGAAGGCGATTAATAAAATATTTATTTTTATTTATTCGAACTTGTTTTATCAATGATTTAATATTATTTTCTATTGATATATATATATCTTTAAAAGCTTGGTATGCATTTATTACTCTTCAAATACATAATTGTTAAAAAAACAAAAGTTAAATCTTTGACTAATTGACCATGTAAACATATGATTTTGTTAATTGATTCTGATAGATTAAATCCGTATTTTATTTATCGAATATAGTTCTCTACATGAACATATTAAAAAACCAAGAATAATTTTATTTTATTGAATTATTTTTTGTTTAAAAGCATAAAAAATTTGTTTTTTTGTTGTTTTTTTAAAGTAAAAAAGAAAAAATAAATAAAAGTAAAATGTATTTAATTTGTTGGTATAAATGAAGTTTGTTTAAATAATTGTATACGATAATTTAATGAATCTGCAACATAAAGATTTTGATCTTGATCAAGAGCAATAGCCGTTGGTTGATTAAATATATAAGAATTATTTCCATAAGCTAAAATAACACCAGCTATTGTTTTACCTTTGACTAATTCATCAAGAGAATATGTAAAATATTGAATACGTTGATTAAAACAATCAGCAACATATAGATGTCCAAATCTATCAACATAAACATGACGTAATTTATTAAATAATGTTCTTGATATTCCACTAAGGTCAGAACTAGCTGATCCAGCAATTAATGTCCAATATGTTGAATCAATATGCCATCGAATAACATTAAAACCTGTTTCTTGAGCAATAACAATTGTCTTTGATACAGAATCATATTTAATTGATATTGGACTCATAACATATTCATTTCTTTCTTGATTATTTTCATTTTTTTTAAGATATATTTCTGCTACATTATTATTTCTCTTAAATGATATGATACGATTGTTTCCATAATCAGCTATGTAAATAGTTGAATAATCATCGATTGTAACTCCCATTGGACAATTCAATTGATTACTTCCCGAACCTTGTTGACCTATAAAGATTTGAATTCGAATAAAATATATTTTATTAAATAGAATTAAATACCAGTTCCAAAAACAGTGCTAATATATTTATTATCTGTGTTACTAAATAATTGAATTCTATGATTTAATGTATCAGCAATATAAATATTATTTGATTTATCAATATGAATATCATTGGGAGAATATAAAGAAGTTTGATCAGAACCATTTGTACCATTTTGATGACCAACAATTATTTCGATTTTATCATTTGTTATTTTTAGTATTCTATTATTTGTTTGATCAACAAAATGAAGATTATTTTCTTGATCAAATGCTAATGCAGATATATTTCCCAATGTTAGATTTATTTTATTAAAAAGACTATTTTTGTCAACATATGTTGCTCCGTTTATATCCCAAGCTAAATTAGTACCATTATCTAAATAATAAACATATATCATATGCATTATTTGTTTTATTTAAGAAAAAAAAATACTTACAATGAGGGACACTTTTCGGAATAGAATAAATAATAGGAACAACAATTATTGTTAATATAGTTATTATTAATGCAAATAATAATGGAATCCAATTTGAACGAAGTGTCAGGTAGAATCTTTTTATTCTAAACGTTTTTTTTAAATAAATCTTAACAATAAATTAATTAATTTTAACTTACAAAGATTTTGGTTGATCATCATTGTCTATAGGTTCGTTTTCGGACGATTTTTTATCCATTTAATCTAAGATAAAT